CTATCTCTACCTATCTCTACCTATCTGGCTGGGTTTCCCAACCACTCTGGGCAGCTTACAGTACATAGAAAAGCCAGTAAAATATCAAACATTAAAAACCTCCCAATACAGGGCTGCTTTCAGCTGTCTTCTAAATGTCAGATAGTTGCCCATTTCCTTGCCCTCTGCCTGCTTCCCTGTAACTTCGCTTCTCATGGGGGGGGGGTGAACCAGCGGAAGACCCTCAGAGGAGGACCTCAGTGTACAGACTGAGCGATGGGGGTGGAGACGCTCCTTCAGGTCTACAGAGAATGAGGCTGTAGGGCTTTAGGTCAATGATCTTGCTGCTCCACAATGATCTCCAGAGCAAGTCCAACATACAATTAGCAGAGTAGGAAAAAATGCTCAGAAACAGCAAAAAATTCCTTCAGCAAATAAATTTGTGACTGAAGGCATAACAGGAATCTATGCCTGAAAAATGCAACCACAGCAATTTAAAGGTCAGCACCAACAATGTGAAATGTGCTCAGAAATGTACTGGGAGTCAGTGAAGATCCTTTTGGACTGGTGTTATGTTGTCTCAATGGCTCCTCCTATTCTGTTGTCTAGCTGCCGCATTCTGTATTAGTTGCAGTTTATGAGTCACCTCCAAAGGTAGCCCCATGTAGCACATGGCAGTAGTCCAAGCGGGAGATCACCAGAGCATGCACCACTCTGGAGAGGCAGTCTCCAGGCATGGAGGGTCTCAGCCAGCGTACCAGATGGAGCTGGCAGATAGCTGCCCTGGACACAGAATTGACCTGCGCCTCCATGGACAGCTGTGAGTCCAAAATGACCCCCAGGTTGTGCAACTGGTCGTTTTGGGGCACAGTTACCCCAATCGAGACTAGGGAGTCTCCCACACCTGCCTGCCCCCTTTCCCCCGTGACAGTATTTCTGTCTTGTCAAGATTCAACCTCAATCTGTTAGCTGCCATCCATCCTCCAAGTGCCTCCAGACACTCACACAGGACCTTCACTGGTTCCAATTTAAAAGAGAGGAAGAGCTGGGTATCATCCACATAATAGGGAACACCCAGCCCAAACCCCCTGATGATCTCTCCCAGCGAGTTCGTATAAATATTAAAAAGCATGGGGGAGAGGATGGAGCCCTGAGGCACCCCACAAGTGAGAGCCCAGAGGTCTGAACACTCATCCCCCAACACCACGTTCTGGACATGGCCCAGGAGGAAGGAGGGGAACCACTGCATAGCAGGGCCCCCAGCTCCCCTAGAGGGTCCAGAAGGATACCATGGTCAAAGGTCTCCAAAGCCGCTGACAGATCCAGCAGAACCAGGAAAGAGCTTTTTCCCCCTTGGTCTCTAGCCCATCGGAGATCATCAAGCGGCGCAACCAGGGCAGTTTCCTTCCCATGATGAGGCCTGAATCCCAATTGGAAGGATAATGGTGGCAGAAGCTTTCCTGGTCCTGCCCCTCCAAAAGCTCCAGGCCCAAGACTTTCATTAGCTTTCAAGGGGCCATCGGAGATGCTGGAAGGAGGTGTGCAGGACACCATCCAGTTGTCTTAGAGAGTCCATTCTGGATTTGTGTAGGTTCCCCCCCATAGCCTTCTCTTCTCCTGAAGATAACTCACAAGGCAGTGAAGGTTTAGGATCAGAGTTTCCCTTCTCAATGGGCTCCCTTCCCCGGTTGACGATCACATCTGCCCTTCACTTTCCTCTGCAGCATGGGCGGAATCTGCCTTTTTGACTGTGGGATTCACTGTTGTTCTCCTCCTCTCCATCCACCAGGGTCTGCCTTCACCTGCACCAGAATTCCCCAACCCACCAAGCATTTGAGACCCATCAGGTATCCTCACCTGGTTTAGCCGGCCCGTTGAAGCCGTTGCTTGGATCGCTACCTCTGTTGCATGCTGACAGCTTCTGGAAGCCAAAGGTGAGAGCTGAGTGCAGGGTGGGGACCAATGGTGGAAAAATTACCCCACAAGGTGGACTACATGTCACCCACCAAAGGTACTACCCTAACACCCCAAGCCATCCTATAATTATGATATTTATTTCTCAAGAAACAACATAAATTCAGGCTGTTAATGAATCATTACTCCATATTCAAGGATAAAGTTTCCATTAAGTACAGTTATCTATTTGCCTTTAGTATTCAGATTTTTAAGTGTCATTTTAGGATAGTCCTGCGTTAGGATATGGGCACAAGATCAGGCTGCACCTCATTATTATAAGGAGCAATGGGGGTGGGTTTTTCCGTCTGGGATTCCCATGCGCCAGGTGCTTTCCTTTCGCTTCTCCTTCTCTTTCCATGCAATGTAAGGCAATATAATACAAATGTAACAATATAATACGAATGATTGTAGTATTTCTACCTTGCCTAACTGGCTGGGTTTCACCAGCCACTCTATGCAGCTCACAGTACATATAAAAGACAGTAAAACATGCCCCCAGCTCCCCTAGAGGGTTCAGAAGGATAACATGATCAAAGGTCTCCAAAGCCACTGAGAGATCCAGCAGAACTAGGAAAGAGCTTTCCCCTTGGTCTCTAGGCGCAAACAGGGAAGTTTCAGCCCCATGATGAGGCCTGAATCCCAATTGGAAGGATAATGGTGGCAGAAGCTTTCCTGGTCCTGCACCTCCAAAAGCTCCAGGCACCAGATGTTCATTAGCTTTGAAGGGGTCATTGGATAATTGGTGGTCTTTTCTTCAAAAGACAAATATTTTGAATACCTTCACAGTGACATATGATGTAAATAGTGCTTCTGTTTTCCTTGTTTCACATCGGAGAGACTTTGATACACAGGTCTGAGCTCATCTCTCCGCCTGAAACTGCTGTGTTAGCAGCACTGCATGGACAGTGTGTTTGGGGGTTCACGGCTACCTAGACAACAAGACCCCCTTCTCAGCCTGGCTTATATGGTCCCAAGGAAAGCAGAGCAGTACTTTTGGCACCAGCTTGGCTGCAGGAGTTGCTGGAAGGAGGTGTGCAGCGCACCATCCGACCCACTAAGAGACTCTACTCTGGATTTGTGTAGGTTTTCCTCTACAGATTTTTCTTCTCCTGAAGATAACTCAAGAGGCAATGAAGGTTTAGGACCAGAGTTTTCCTTCTCGATCGGCTCCCTTCCCCGGTTGACGATCCCAGCTGCCCTTCACTTTCCTCTGCAGCATGGGCAGAATCTGCCTTCTTGACTGTGGGATTCACTGTTGTTCTCATCCTCTCCATCCACCAGGGCCTGCCTTCACCGGCAGCAGAATTCACCAACCCACCAAGGATTTGAGACCCATCAGGTATCCTCACCTTGTTTAGCCGGCCGGTTGAAGCCGTTCCTGGGATTGCGGCTCATTTTGCATGCTGACAGCTAGCTTCTGGAAGCCACAGGTGAGAGCTGAGTGCAGGGTGGGGACCAATGGTGGAAAAATTACTCCAGAAGGTGCATGACATTTCCTCCACCAAAAGTACTACCTCTCCCCTAACACCCCAAGACATCCCATAATTATGATATTTAAGACATATCATATCTCAAGAAATAACACAACTTCAGGTTGTTAATGAATCAATACCACATATTCAAGGATGAATTTTCCGCTAAGTACAGTTATCCATTTGCCTTTAATATCCAGCTTTTTCAGTGTCAGGAGACGGGCATAAGATCAGGCAGCACATCATTATTATAAGCAGCAATGGGGGTGGGTGTTTCCGTCTGGGATTCCCATGCGCCACCTGCTTTCCTTCTGCTTCTCCTGTTCTCTCCATGCAATGTGAGGCAGTAGACTGAGGTCCATTTCCAAGAACAGGAGCTTCCCTGAGCACCCATTCAGCTGATTCCAAGCACCAAGGCTTGTCACTAGTTCTCTGACTGACCCAGACCACAGTCCCTGGAAAAGACGAAGACCTGAGTCTCACAAAATGGTTTATATGGACCTCCTGAGGCCAATGGGACTGTGCAGGTGACTCATAAAGATATAGAGGTGGAAACGGGTGGATGGAGGATTATGATGCAGAGAATGGGAAATGTCCAAAGGAACGATGGACGAGAGAAAGAGAGGGCCGATTCATGGACAGAGAGAAGCTGCCTTTCCTTGTGAGGAAACAATTGATTTGAAAAGGCTGTATTCCAAGATCATGCTGCTTTATTAACAATGACTAAGGTTTATGAAAGGTTGCTGATGCATTACTATCATTTGGTGACATTGCATCTTCATTTCATAAAAACTGGGAACATGGGTAGGAGGCGGGGGAATGTAGGAAATGTTGAAATATGAGAAGGTGCTAACGGCGCTTGCTGTGTTCTCTTCCCCTTTCTTCTCTTCCTTGAAACCCAAACAGGATTTCCTTTCCTCCCACTCTGAAGAAGGTGATGGAGAAGACATTCAGAATTCTGAGGGATGGGGCACTTTTGTTTCATTAGGTATAGATATTAAAATGTGTGAAATGTGGAATATGCTTCACTGAATGAGCACACATAGCTCACATCAGCGATCTCAAGAAGGGAAGAAACCATTTAAAGGTATGGAGTGTGGGAAAAGTTTCACGGATAGTGGACAACTTAGAACACATCAGCGGACTTACATGGGCAAGAAAGGATTCCAATGCAGGGAGTGTGGGAAGAACTTCAGTCAACATGGACACTTAAGTTTACATCAACAGTTTCACACAGGGGAAAAACCTTTTAAATGCCTGGATTGTTGAAAGAGCTTCAGTCGGAGTGATATACTTAGAACACATCAGAGGACTCACACAGGGGAGAAACCTTTTAAATGCATGGATTGTGGAAAGGGCTTCAGTCAGAATGGACACTTAAGTTTACATCAGCGGACTCACACAGGGGAGAAGCCATTTAAATATATGGAATGTGGAAAAAGCTTCAGTCAGAGAGGACACCTCAATATACATCAACAGACTCACACAGGGGAAAAACTATTTAAATGTATGGAGTGTGGAAAGAGCTTTAGTGATAATTTAAGGCTTAGAACACATCAATGAACTCATACAGGGGAGAAACCTTTTAAATGCATGGATTGTGGAAAGGGCTTCAGTCAGAATGGACACTTAAGTTTACATCAGCGGACTCACACAGGGGAGAAGCCATTTAAATGTATGGAATGTGGAAAAAGCTTCAGTCAGAGAGGACACCTCAATATACATCAACAGACTCACACAGGGGGAAAACTATTTAAATGTATGGAATGTGGAAAAAGCTTCAGTCAGAGAGGACACCTCAATATACATCAACAGACTCACACAGGGGAGAAACCATTTGAATGCCTGGAGTGCGGAAAGAGCTTCAGTCAGAATGGAGACCTTAAATTACACCAGCGGACTCACACAGGGGAGAAATCATTTAAATGCACGGAGTGTGGAAAGTGCTTTAGTCAGAATGGAGAACTTAAATTACACCAGCGGATTCACACAGGGGAGAAACCATATAAATGTATGGAGTGTGGAAACAGCTTCAGTAAGAGTGGACACCTCAATATGCATCAACGGACTCACACAGGGGAGAAACCATTTAAATGCACGGAGTGCGGAAAGAGCTTCAGTCAGAATGGAAACCTCAATATACATCAACGGACTCACACAGGGGAAAAGCCATTTAAATATATGGAGTGCGGAAAGAGCTTCAATTTCAATGCAAACCTTAGAACACATCAACTGAGTCACACAGGGGAGAAACCATTTAAATGCATGGAGTGTGGAAAGAACTTCAGTCAGAATCGAAATCTTAGAAAACATCAGCAGACACACAGGGGGCAAACTGTTTAAAAGTATGGACTGTGGAAGGCGCTGCAGTCAGAGTGGAACCCTTGATTTATTTGAACAAACTCACACAATACACATACCATATAAATATCAGGAAAGGCGATACAGGTTCAGTCCTAGTGGAAGTCCTATATCAACAGACTCATGAACAGGAAGAACTTTAGGAGTTGAAACCCTACAAACCATCAACAAACTCAAAGAGGAGAAGCAGTTTAAATGAAAAGATTGCAAAAAGTGCTTTATTTACAATGGAGTGTTTAAGGAACATCCAGGGACTCTCACAAGGAAGAACCCATTTATATGTATGGAGTGCAGGACGTGTTCCTTTCAGTGTCCACTCATTTCTTCACAGAACTGAACTCAGCAGGAAATCAGTCTTTAACACATGCTGTGTATGTGAAGTTCTGGTATTTATGTGGTAAACTCTATAGTAATGAAATATTGAAGGCAATGTCAAACTATGTGATTATAATCTAAGATGTAAAGTACCTTTCGGTAGAGAAAGGGTGAGGGTTTATCTGGATTTCTTGGTGGTCAGTGAGGATTAGGGCTGGGCGATATATTGTCCCATACTGGTTTCTAGACCACATCGTGATAACCTTTCAAAAACAATTGATATGGCAACACACCACAGATCACAGTGTGTGTTTCTGGGATGCCCATTTGCCTAGAAGCTGCCGGCAGAAGGCTTTGCTTTGTGAAGCCCCTGCAGATGTCGAGTTGCTGACTTCCCTCCCAGACGACAGGAAGCGAAAGACACAGGGGGGAAAGAGCCCCCTCCCAAAATTGCCTGCTTCTCCCGCAAGTGGAGCTTCTGCGCCGGATTGCTGCTCTGCCCCGCAGCTCTAGGGGTGCGCGCTTTCGGAAAGGGGAGGAGGGGCGGCAGGTAAACCCCCACCCACCCATGTGGATGTTGCAGGAAGGGAAAGGAGAATCGCGAGCGAGGACAAAGAGGTAAAGGGGTCGCGGGGGGAGGCGAAAGAAGGACCCAGAACCCCCCTCCAGCTCCCAAAATCCCCTTTCGTGGATCTGGATCCCTGCATGCGTGCTGCGAAGGGGGTTTTCCTTGGACCCTTAGGAAGCGCACCCAGGGGATCCCAACGAAGCCCCCTCGCCCCATTTCCCCGCACAGGCATCCCTGGGACTCTGTGGGTCCCGCGCGGAGAGAGGTGGGCCATGAAAGGGTTAACGGGAGTGAGGGACGCGTGGATAGAGACCCCCCCTGTCCTCCTCTGCTCGTCTTAGTGGTCCCCTCCGGGCGGAGAGGTGGGATTAACTTGGCTTGGAAACAGGTCAGGGAGGACAATGGGTGGCCAGCCGGGGGTGGGGCAAAGGCCAAAGAAAAGAGGCCGACCCCTTTGTCCAAGCCTCTTTTGGTTTTCTTCCTTCCAGAATCAGGATCCTCAGGAGTGTGTCCTGGCGGCTGAATTAAGGTAAGGTCTGGCCTGATTGGAAGGGGCATGGCCCCACCCACCGGGCTAGGCTACAATTTTGCAGCTTTTCTTTCTGGGCGGGGGGCCAGCTAGGCCGCAGGGGGTGGCCTTCTTGTTTTTTTTGTAGTGGTGGGGCGGGGAGGCATGGCTCCCTCGCCACCGCCATCCGCCGCCCTCCAATTGAAGGCTGCATGGGCGGCCGTTTCTTTCTTGTTGGGGGGGGCATAGGTCAGGCCACATGGTGGTCATGTTGGTTTGCACTCCCCCCCCCCCGTTCCGCTCTGGCTACTGACGCACTTCTGCTCCTAGCAGTGAAATGTAAATGTCTCTTTTGTTACACTCGATGGGTGTTTGGTGGAGGGCAAGGGGAACTATGGGGCAGGGTCCAGGATGCTCAGATTACTGCCACCAGATCTTCCCTTTCATGATGTAACCATGATGTAGTTTGGGGGGGGGTGTAACATTGGGATTAGCAGTGAAATAAATAAATTAAGGTCTTATGTATATAATGAAGGTTCATAAATGTACCAGGCAAACATGTACATAGATATATAGGCCCCATGTCTGAACCTGCACAGGAGAGCAGCCATGGAGCCATTTTGACTCCCAGGCTGACCAGGTGTTTTCTCTGCAAGGTCAAATGGAGCAGCCTCCCTTCACAAATCCTGTCTTAAGGGTATATCTGTGTATGAATAGGGTGAGCCTGTGATCTGGCTCAGGAACTAAGGACTTATCATTACAAAAGACTGGCCAGGCTCCCAGGGTATCAATCAAGTAAGCATTAACAGGTAACTTGCCAGACAGGGGGTAAACAACCCCCTCAGATTTCTGCTTTAGCCCGCCCTTTCTGTGATGTAGGTATGATGTTTCTGGGGGTGGTCTTGGACTCCAAGGTGGGCAATTTAAAATGTCTATATAAGGGCGGACACATCTTGGTTCTGGGTCCTCCTCCTTCTCCTATGTGTGAAGGGGGCACCCTGTTGCAACAGTTCAGTAAAGATCAGGCTTACAAGCTGCTTTGCTTCTCAATATTCTCTGGTTGACCTCTGTTTTTTCCTCTGACCGATGGAGAACCTACAAAGGACTCTATGAGGGCTCTTGTGTCCTGCATAAGGGAATAATGGCAGATTTTCATTTATTGCAGCAGCTAATAAAAGTTTGGGTTCTCTTTTGCTCGGGGCTTCCATCTTGTTCCACCAGGAGTCTTCAATAAAGACCAAGCCTACTGGCTACTGTTTTGCTCTGGTATTCCTGGCTGGTGTCCTTGTTTTTTGTCCAGGGGGGTCCTCAGATTTCTCCTTTAACAAGACACACCTTCTTTCCTGCAAGCTCCACCCAATTCCCACCCCATAAGCCCCATACCTGTCCAGATAATAATAGTAATAATAATAATAATAATAATAATAATAATAATAATAATTTATATCCCGCCCTTCCCAGCCGAAGCTGGACTCAGAGCGGCTTACAACAATAAAAGTAACACAGTTTACATAAAATCACAAGCAATTAATTAAAATGCATTCTAAAATCAATTTGTTCTAATATCAATTGAAAATCAAATTAATGGCAGATACAGCGGTTCTGCCAAGTCCAACCATTGGTCCCCCTGGAGAGGAGAGGAAAATCCCGAGAGAAAGTGGGGGGGGGGGGCTTCTCAGAAGTGGCTCTTTGTTTCTGCAATCCCACCCAGGAAGCAGCCAGAAACCTTTTCCTCTCTCTCAGGCTTCCATCTTTAAGTGTCTTTTCCACTGCCTGGTTCATTGAGGATGAGGATAATGTACACCTCTCATCAGAAACAGGGGTGCAGAGTCCATGGAACAGCTCTCAGGCTTGATATAGAAGTTGCACCTCAAAAGCATTTCTGTTCCTCTTATTCTTTGAAGGCAGTGTCAGAGTGACTGACAAGCTGAGATACAACCCATCAGCATCCAATGATAGCCATTGCATGAATCTTCCCAGTCAAAGGACCCATTTTCATGATAGACTGTGGCTGGGGCTGGAGGCTCTACATACAGGGTGTGCCTATGCAGGCCAAAGACTGCCAGTATTAGCACAGGTGAGGTGTGTGACCCCCCCCCCCCAAATTGACAGACTTTGTGTGAATGAGAGTTTGTGGGTGGGATTATTGTTTATGGCAACCCTGTTGCTCCTACAAGGGAGCACCCAGGGGTCTGAACCTTCATCCTCCAACACCACGTTCTGGACATGGCCCAGGAGGAAGAAGGGGAAACACTGCATAGCAGGGCCCCCAGCTCCCCTAGAGGGTCCAGAAGCATACCATGGTCAAAGGTCTCCAAAGCCGCTGAGAGATCCAGCAGAACCAGGAAACAGCTTTTCCTCTCAGCCTCTAGACCATCGGAGATCATCAGTCACAGCAACCAGGGTAGTTTCAGTTCCATGATGAGGCCTGAATCCCGATTGGAAGGATAATGATGGAAGAAGCTTTCCTGGTCCTGCACCCCCAAAAGCTCCAGGCACAAGACTTTCATTAGGTTTGAAGGGGCTATACGATACTTGGTGGTCTTTTCTTCAAAAGACAAATAATCTGAATACTTTTAAATTGATGTATGATATAAACAGCACTTCTGTTTTCCTTGTTCCACATCAGAGAGACTTTGATACACAGGTCTGAGTTCATCGCCCCCCTGAAACTGCTGTGTTAGCAGTATAGCGAGTGTGGACAGTGAGTTTGGGGTTTCAGGGCTGCCTAGACAACAAGACCCCCTTCTCAGCCTGGCTGATATGGTCCCAAGGAAAGCAGAGAAGTACGTTAGGCACCAGCTTGGCTGCAGTAGTGCCTGGAAGGAGGTGTGCAGGGCAGCATCCAACCGCCTTAGAGACTCCACTCTGGATTTGTGTAGGTTTTTCTCTGCAGCTTTTCCTTCTGCTGAAGATAACTCAAGAGGAAGTGAGGGAGTGCACCAAAGTATTATAAGCAGAGTTTTCCTTCTCGAGGACCTCCCTTCCCTGGTTGATGAGCCCCATCTGCCCTCACTTTCCTCTGCAGAATGGGCAGAATCTGCCTTCTTGACTGTGGGATTCACTGTTGTTCTCATCCTCTCCATCCACCAGGTCCTTTATTCACCTGCAGCAGAATTCCCTAATACACCAAGGATTTGAGACCCATCAGGTATCCTCACCTGGTTTTGCCAGCCGGTTGAAGCCGTTCCTGGGATTGCGGCCCCTATTCCATCCTGACAGCTTCTGGAAGCCACAGGTGAGAGCTGAGTACAGGGTGGGGACCAATGTTGGGTAGATTACCCCCGAAGGTGGACAACATGTCCCCTACCAAAGGTACTAACACTCCCCTAACACCCCATGAGATTGTATGATTATGATCTTTAAGACAGGACAGGAATAAATTCATGTCCGCAGAAATAACACAACTTCAGGCCATTAGTGAATCAATACTACATTTTCAAGGTACTACATATTCCACTAAGTACAGTTTATCTATTTGCCTTGAATATCCTGCTTTTCAGTGTCGTTTTAGGATAGTCCTGCGTCAGAAGACGGGCACAAGATGAGACAGCACATCATTCTTTAAAAAATCAAGCTGCTTTATGAACATTGATTGAGGATTATGAAAGTTGCTGATGAATTACTATCATTTGATGACATTGCAACTTCATTTCCTAAAAACTGGGAACATGGGTAGGAGGTGGGGGAATGTAGGAGACGTTGAAATAGGAGAAGGTGGTAATGGAGCTTGATGTGTTCTCTTTCCCTTAATTCTCTTCCTTGAAACCCAACAGGATTTCCTTTCCTCCCACTCTGAAGAAGGAAATGGAGAAGACAGTAAAAACTCCAGGGAATGGGGCACCTTTCATTTCATTAGGAATAGAAATCAAAATGTGGAATATGCTTCACTGAATGGGCACGCATAGTTCACATCAACTACCTCCAACAGGGGAGATACCATTTAAAGGTATGGAGTGCGGAAAGAGCTTTAGTGATAATGGAAAACTTAGAACACATCAACGGATTCACACAGGGGAGAAACCATATAAATGTATGGAGTGCGGAAAGAGCTTCAGTTTCAATTCAAGCCTTAGAACACATCAACGGATTCACACAGGGGAGAAACCATATAAATGTATGGAGTGTGGAAAGAGCTTTAGTGATAGTGGAAATCTTAGAACACATCAACGGACTCACACAGGGGAGAAACCATATAAATGTATGGAATGTGGAAAGAGTTTCAGTCAGAGTGGACACCAAAATATACATCAACGGACACACACAGGAGAGAAATCATTTAAATGTATGGAGTGTGGAAACAGCTTTAGTGATAATGGAAGACTTAGAAGACATCAACGGACTCACACAGGGGAGAAACCATTTAAATGCCTGGAGTGTGGAAAGTGCTTCAGTGAGAATGGAGGCCTTAGAAGACATCAACGGACTCACACGGGGGAGAAACCATTTAAATGCCTGGAGTGCGGAAAGTGCTTCAGTGAGAATGGAGAACTTCGAAGACATCAACGGACTCACACGGGGGAGAAACCATTTAAATGCCTGGAGTGCAGAAAGTGCTTCAGTGAGAATGGAGGCCTTAGAAGACATCAACAGACTCACACAGGGGAAAAACCATTTAAATGTATGGAGTGCGGAAAGAGCTTTAGTTCCAATTCAACCCTTAGAGAACATCAACGGACTCACACGGGGGAGAAACCCTTTAAATGCCTGGAGTGCGGAAAGTGCTTCAGTGAGAATGGAGAACTTCGAAGACATCAATGGACTCACACAGGGGAGAAACCATTTAAATGCCTGGAGTGCAGAAAGTGCTTCAGTCGAAATGGAGACCTTAAATTACACCAGCGGATTCACACAGGGGAGAAACCATTTAAATGCCTGGAGTGCAGAAAGAGCTTCAGTCAGAATGGAAATCTTAGAAGACATCAGCAGACACACAGGGGAGAAACTGTTTAAATGTATGGACTGTGGAAGGAGCTGCAGTCAGAGTGGAACCCTTGATTTATGTGAACAAACTCACACAAAACACAAACCTTATAAATATCAGTGAAAGTAGATACAGGTTCAGCCCTGATGGAAATTCTAAATCATGAACAGGAAGAACCTTTGGAGTTGAAACCCTTCAAACCATCAACAGACTCAAAGAGGAGAAGCAGTTTAAATGAAAAGATTGCAAAAAGTGCTTTATTTACAATGGAGTGTTTAAGGAAAATCCAGAGACTCTCACAAGGAAGAACCCATTTATATGTATGGAGTGTGGGACATCTTTCTCTCAGAGTCAACTCTTTTCTTCACAGAAATGAACTCAGGAGGAAATCTGTCTTTAACACATGTTGTGTATGTGAAGTTCTGGTATTTATGTGGTAAACTCTATAGTAATGAAATATTGAAGGCAATGTCAAACAATGTGATTATAATCTAAAATGTAATATACCTTTCGATAGAGAAAGGGTGAGGGTTTATCTGGATTGCTGGTGGTCAGTGAGGATTAGGGCTGGGCGATATATTATCCCATACTGGTTTCTAGACCACATCGTGATAACCTTTCAAAAACAGTTGATATGCCAACACACCACAGATCACAGTGTGTGTTTCTGGGATGCTCATTTGCCTGGAAGCAGCCGGCAGAAAGCTTTTCTTCGTGATGCCCCTGCAGATGCTCAGTTGCTGACTTCCCTCCCAGACGACAGGAAGCGAAAGACACACATCCTTTGCCCTGTGTCCTTCCAGCCTCTTTCCTCCCTTGCTCCCTTCTGCCGGATTGTGTGCCTGACTTAGATATCCTGTGTGCTGTATTTTTCTACTGCTGAAACTGGATTTGCTCTCAGGAGCTAAGTTTTGTGCCTCACTGGGGACCCAGTGAGAACTGTATGCTTTGAAAGCTCAGTAAACTATTCCTGAAGAAGTGCTGCTGCCTCTGTGTGTGTTTTTGTCCTCAGCGTGGGACTTGCTCTGCATGTGGCCCCTACCCTGCTGATACTTGGCACATGCCCTGGAGTTGCTCTACTCAAGCATGCAAGACGGGTGCATCTGTGTGTGACTGGTTTTTGCACCAAACTCTGTCACCCCCACCACCGCATGATCTCCAAACACTGCTTCTTCACCAGAACTTCATCCCTGCCCCCTGCACATTCTGAAGGAAACTTAAAATACTGTAATTTAATGGGATATTTTCCCCAAGTCTTATTGCAAGAGGGGGAAGGATGGGTTGCAGGTACCAGGGAAGTCTCCTGATGGGTCCCATCTTCACTCATGAACCCCATGGGGCAACCCCAGATCTACTGCTTATTCTGGGATTTGGGGAAGATAGTACTTTTCCATAGTCCCAGAAGTTATTATTCTTCCTGCCAGAGGACCAGTGTGCATATTATTATCGTGCTGATTTTACTGTTGTTGCTGCTGTTGCTGTCATGGACTGGCTGGGTGAAAAGGGGGGGAGGCATCAGCATGGGAACCCCCAAGGGAAAAAGATCTGGAGTCTGAGTGTTGTATGCCCCCAAAGGTTATCAAAACTCCTAGGTCTGTTCAATAAAAGGCTAATTTGGTGGTTTTTTGGGGGGGACCCAGGTGCGAGGCTGCTCAGCCACCCAGCTCATCAGGCAGAGCCCGTGGGTCCCTGCGGAATACAAGAAGGAGTCCGGCCACCAACCGGAGCAAATAGCTGTAGACCAAAGTTTATTGCGCAAAAGGTTGAAAGAGGAATTGAACCCCGAGGATGGGGTGACAAGGACTTTTAAAAGTTTCCATCTTATCCCAGCATACAGTTTGTGGAGCATCATCACTACATCATTGCTACATCATCACTACATCAGAAAAGGGGAGGGTTATACATGATTCACATAGGAGGAATGTCTCAGGGTAACAGGCAAATACAGGATATGTATTGGGAAGGTACATTCTAAGCACCTACTGCAAAACAACAATAGAACTTTGGTTTGCATAGTCTGGCACCTGGGCAAGTCCGGAGGAGAGCTTTTGCCCAGCGATCGACACCTATGAGTACCTTCCTGTGAGTGCGTGACCTCCCGCTTCAGGGATTATGGCGGGGACAAAGTGGTTTCCAAGCCCTTAGCCAATGAAGCAAATTGGCGGTGGAATGAAGAGAATCGTTGAAACCAGTGATTTCCTATGAATTTCTAAGCGTTTTTGGCTATTCACAATACAGACAGTGGGTTCGGAAATGACCCGACTTGGCCTCGCTACATTGGATCCAGTTTTATGAGTGGATTACAAGGTAACGAGGTTTCGATGAACTTAGTCCATTGTTCTCTCAGCAGGAGCTGTTGTCACCTTGTCAGCGCTCATTGAATAGTGCAAGATAGCTGCGCTGAGCAGCTCCTGCGGAGCCATATACATTGCTGAGATTGGCTGATGTACTAGATTTGTCGCGATTTGATTGGTCAGGATGCATCCTCATGCAAATAAATTGTCCATTCATAAAATACATCATTCATACTGCTCGCCTGTATATAGCACCAGGATACGCGGTCACAAATGGCGCTTTATTCTTGGAATGTTGGGTTTTTGTGTGGTGCTTGGTGCAACGTTGTGACAGGACGAGGGGAGCCCTTGTACAGTGGGGTTCTCTTGAGATTATCGTCTCAGGCCCTACCAGGTTTACTCGGGAGTAAACTCTGTTTATATGCCCCCCCCCCATTCTGTAAGAGTGGGAACCATTGGGGGCCAGGTCGGTTCTTTCATTTTCTCCTCTCCTCTGGAAAAGTGCTCTTTCTTTTGGGATTTGATTACTTTTGCCTCCTCCAGTGCCCACTGCAGCATCAGAGAGGTACAATACTGTCCTTTCAACTTCTGTAGCCTTCTCTCTGTCAGCACCGCTACCCAGGAGTCTGCGTATGCAAACTGCTCCGAACATCCAGGGTGTTTTGTCACGCTTCAAAAAACCTGGTTGGTTAGGTCCAGGTCCTACGAGCCCGGGGGGTGGGGCTGTCCGCAGGGAGTTCTCAGTCGTTTGGGGTTCATCGCTCCACCGTATTTGCGCTCGAATTTGCCTAAATTATTCACCATGCCTTGTAATGGAGTCCATTCCTCCTGTGAGTGTGGGGAACCCCGCCCCCATTATGAGCTCCTGCTTAAGTTGTTACCCAAGGGGGACTCCGTGCCCTTCCGACATGTTGCAGGAGCCTTCAAGCAAAACACAAAGTGAGAAATCTCCTGTTTCCTCACAGCATCAGCCCCCCTTGGCCAAGATAGAGACAATAAAATACATAGACATACACAGAGCTGGGAGCCTGTTGTTGCATGGGGGTGGGGTTCCCACACTCACTGTCTCACACACAGAGACACAGACTCACACACACAGCTGGCCCTCCAGCCCCAGCTCCCTTGGCTGAGCTGGAAACAAAATTCTCAACGCAAAGCACACAAAAAGAGATAGAGACAATAAAATACATAGACATAACCGGAGATGGGAGCCTGTTGTTGCCTGTGGGGAGTGGTGGGGGTGGTTTCTGTTATAAAAATTTTAATGTCTTAGATATATAATAAATGTTCATAACTGTACCAAGCAAACACGTACATAAATATATAAACCACCTGTCCGAAGCAGCACAGGAAGACAGTCCTGAAATCATTTTGACTGACCAAATGTTTCTCTGCAAGGAAGGAGGAGGTGAAAAAAAACTATCTGAGGATGTACAAATTCCAACGCGCTTTAGTTCTGGGCTGCTTCACTCCTTGCATGAATTTCACCTGGGTGTCGGGGCACTGTGTGCAAAAGCCAAAGCCCTATTTTTTCCCGTAATACAGAAGTCACAGAGTCCAAGCCGCTGCTCAACGTGCACCTTCCTCTCCCTCCCCCCAATTCCTCCGCTCCCCTCCCGGCACATCCTTCTCTCACCTCGGCCCCACAACCCCAAATCCCGCCCCCATACGTTGCACCTCCTCCTCCTCTTCCTCGCCATCCGACTTCTGTTCCGGGAGGGGGAGGGGGGAAAGAGCCCCCTCCCAAATTGCCTGCTTCTCCCGCAAGTGGAGCTTCTGCGCCGGATTGCTGCTCTGCCCCGCAGCTCTAGGGGCGCGCGCTTTCGGAAAGGGAAGGAGGGGTGGCAGGTAAACCCCCCCCCACCCACGTGGATGTTGCAGGAAGGGAAAGGAAAGGAGAATCGCGAGCGAGGACAAAGAGGTAAAGGGGTCTCGGGGGGAGGCGAGAGAAGGATCCAGAAGACCCCCCTCCAGCTCCCCAAAGCGCTTTTCGTGGATCTGGATCCCTGCACGCGTGCTGCGAAGGGGGTTTTCCTTGGACCCTTAGGAAGCCCACCCAGGGGATCCCAACGAAGCCCCCTCGCCCCATTTCCCCGCGCAGGCATCCCTGGGACTCTGTGGGTCCCGCACGGAGAGAAGTGGGCCATGAAAGGGTTAACGGGCGTGAGGCACGCTTGGATAGAGACCCCCCTGTCCCTCCCCTGCTCGTCTTTGAGGGGGGGCTCCGGACGGAGAGATGGGGGGGGCGCCGGCGTGGGGTGAGCCACGCCAAGGGGGGCCTCTGGGTGCAGGGGAGACTCTGGGACAGAGGGAGGGAGTTGAGGAAGTGGGGAGGGGGAGCATCCCTGGGGCAGGGAAGGGCAGCAATTGGGGGGGGGGGGAGCTAGGAAGACCAGTCTTTGGGGACACATCTCCATCGTGGCGCCCGCTGGGATTCTCTGGAGGGGCCGCCTTGGCTTCTCCCTCCCACCCAGGAATCAGCCACATCTTCAAGGCTACCAGAGAGGGATCCCTGGAAAGTGGGGATCCAGGCCCCCCACCCCTTCCTTCCTGCAACCTCTATCCTCTTCCCACCCCATAAGTCCCTGCCCTGTCCAGACTGTTGCAGGAACTGTTGTGTTTCCCCTCCAGCAGATATCATGCACATGCAGCCCACTACCAAAATCAGCACCATCACTTTTGTGACTTTTGTGATTTGTCCCCACAAAGCACTTCATCACAGTTTCTTCCTACCTATTCAAAGGGCCTCTGCTGCACAATACCAAATACAAGAATTCACTGATAAATCTCTGTATGTACTGACTCACTGGGGAAACTTCAGAAATTCAT